CAGATCCAATTTTTTTCGTGCCCTAATTGCAGCAGTTTCCCACTAGTCCTATACCTACCTGATCCGACGAAACCGATCCCGCCCCCTGCTTCGACCGTCTCGTCATTATTATCGCGGATGATCTCGATAGCTCCTTCGATTAAGAACATTACTGTATCCTGCAACAATTCCAAGACACTGAGTTAGAGCTTGATGGACGCCTATTTGTACAACTTCCATGGAGTCATCTCATCCTAGACTAGCAGCACCTCGCACTCAAGCGATTCGAAAGCCAGTATAAATCCTCCGTCGCTGAGCCGGATCTCTCTCGACGAACACCACTTCGACAGTTATAGGTAGAGTCTTCCACATCTTTCATCAGGCAGTGATCAAGGAGTCGTCTACTACCACCAGGATGAGAGTCGTTTTCGACGCTTCATCCCAATGTGAAGGATTCTCTAGTCCCAACGATTGCCTCCACCCCGGTCACCTATCCTCCCTGACCTCGTTGGAATTCTTCTTCTGTCTCTCCTCAAACCAATCCTTCTCATAGCCAAAGTAGGAGAAGCCTACCTTTAAATTCGTCTACAACTCAGTCACAGAAATGCTACATGATTTTTATGGTTGTTTGACCCAAATTCTGCCGCTGTCAGAGGCTAATCTTAGGATATTCCGACTTACCCCAGTCCCATTCGGAACTGCGGGTCACCATTTTTACTCATAGCTCCCATCCTTTACGAAGAGATCCAAATCAGCTCAGCAAAGGGATTGAAGAGAACACCTACGTTAACAACATACTATCGGGAGTATCTACGAGGAATAAGCGGTATCACGAGTATTAGGATTCCAAATCCTTATTCGCTTCTATGAGTGTGAACTTACGTCGAATTCTAACTAATTCTTCCTATGTTAATGAATACACAAGATCGTATGCAATCTTTGTTATCGGTTCCTTGTTTAGGGCTTCAATGGGACGTCGCCAAGGATCCTCTTCGTGTCCCAACTGACTCTCCGCAATAAAGTCAATTCGGAGTGCACTGCGCTCAAGGCATTCGCTTCTTCATTCAATCCTTTAGGAACTTTATCGACATTTTTTGCACCACTGAAGTTCTTCCTGCAAGAAATGCAGATAAAGTTCTTCTAATGACCATACCCGTTTGGGGATGCAGATGTCGCTCGCTAGAAGAAACTGGACGAAGACCACGTACAATCCATTTCATCGGTTCCCCTTTGCGTTATTTCGTCGCCCGATTCGGCCGTAGACTACGAACTCTTCGCTTTCGGAAATGCTTCGAAACTTCTCTACGCTTCTCGTGTCTACCTACTTTGCAGCAGTCATTCGTCCACGACTGCCCGCCTCCTTATGGCTGAGTCCTACTTGGACCACATAGTTCGATTACCATGCCTCGGATGGAGCGACTAGCCACTCTCGTCAGTTTGCGACTAGCCCGTTTTATCTACACGCAACTCCGTTTCAAGATCACAGCTGTACACGTGTCCTGGAATTCGCAGATAGTTCTCTATTGGATACATTCGACGCCTACCACGCACGTTTGTCGGAAATAGGATAATGAAAAGCCGTCGTGTCATTCACGTTCCGCTTCAATTTTACTACGTTCAATCTCAAGACAATCCAGCCGACTGTGCATCTCAAGGAATTCCCACTAGCTTCGCTAAGCACCCTAGTCGGTGGTCAGAACCGTCATTCCTCCTTATGTCTACACCCCGTTGGCCTGGCGATCGGGACTTCGAAACACTACCAGGGGATGGAATACAGGATGAGTACCAGACACTAATAGTATCCACCTCCCCGCAGTATAAGTCACCACTTTGCTTTCGAAGCATTAGTCAGTATACTAGAGCAGTTCGATCTACGGCCTATGCTTTGAAGTTTATCGCTCATCTAGCCGTCAAGACCAAGGCACCTCTTTACGGCTTCGAAATGACTCCATTCAACTTGACCAAGGATATCTCTTGCGTCAGAATTTGCCATTGGTGAAGTACTCTTCATTAACTCACACAGGGAGTGTGAAAAGATCTTGAGCCGTATGCCTCTCCACCGTTTCAATACCCATCGTTCAACGGATGGACTTATTCCTTGTCCGCATCGCATGAAATAAGCATACAGTTCCGCGTCGTCAGCGATTCTTCTCATTCCGTTTCACTCTTATCATTTGACATACCCATTAATCCCCAATCCCATTCAGGAACACATGCCACTACAGCTACCCTTCGGCACTTCTCCTTCGTTCCCTCTATCAAGAGCACCGTGAAGGAAGTCTTCAGACTCTGCGCTATCTGCAAGAAGATCAGTGGACTTCCTTACCGTTATCCGAACATGCCGAGTCTTCCACTGGAAAGAATTTGGAGGTCAGACCCTTCCAGAACTTTGGTTTGGACTGCCTTAGACCCATTCGTTAAGATGCTTCTACCAACTCGTCGAAAACAAGGATTTTCCTGCTCACCTGTATGGCAACCAGAGCAAACCTTTCGCAGACAGAACTGAATGAACCCAAAAGTTCTTACTCGCACTACGACGTTTTATCGCTCGAAGAGAGTCCCAAGCCTCATTTCAAGCGACAATACCACTACCTTCTGTGCAGCTGATCATGCTCGGCATGACCTCATCTCCAATTACTCGTCCAGCCGTCACATTCAGTGGAGGTTGATTACAACACCAAGCCCGTGGAAAGAAGGATTCAATGAGCTGTTCTACTTGTCAAATCTTCGTTTCGCAAATCCAAGGGACGCTCTCTATTTCCGTTGTCACAATTCCAAACCATCATATGTGAGATAGGAGGTTCGGTCTGTCCACGACCAATCCCCTCCATTTCGAACACCACATTGTCACCTACAATTCTGCGTTCAAAAGAACTCATCTCACCACATGCACAACTTCAGTTGGACTTAACTAATACACAGGGTGTCCCAAGACAATTGGCGCCGATTTATAGCAATATATTTCAAACTTCTCCGCTGCGAGAGACGATGGAATCTCTATGCACGTTAGCTAAGACTATGTGCTACAAAATGCTACAGTCGCCTTTGAAAATATCAACCATGAGCGCGGATAGAGGTCAAAGTTTGCTCTCGACTTGATCGCATGTGGCACGCAGGTATCCTCCTCCATTTCTTCCCAGCCATTCTTCAGCCTTTGCATTCTAGGACTCCAAACTGGAATCGCAAACTCGACAGTCCTCTTCTGACCAGGGATCAGTTGTGGGGTCATGTGAGTCAAGTTCTGGAAAATAGGCTGACCATCTCTCCTCACCAATGAAGTCGGGCAGCTGTCGTCGGCACCACTCGCGGGCAAACTTGGCTCTGTGGGCTGGAGAAGCGTCCCGCTGGAGGGACTGCGAGATGTTTCAGAAAACGTAGTCGGATCAATGTTTCATTTACTTCCATCAGTACGCCGTTTGAGAACTGGTCTAGGTCAATTTTCATGCCTGCACCGAAGAAACCACGAGCGGCTTACCCTTGCCAGTGATTTCCTCGAAAAACATCATTTTACTAATCTGATAACGAACGTTGAATGAACGTTTTGGTTGTTGAGGAATGGCTTTATCGTAAAAAATTTCTTTACCAGAGAAAACGACGAAGGGTTGCGTGTCATCATTCTCGACTTTCTGCATTTTTGGTTCGGCAGTGTCTGTTGAGGTCGGAATTGAAGCGAAATTTCTGCATACGATGGGAACGACAGTAGAGCTCCTGCATGACATTGTTCCATCGCGATAACTCCTGTAAGCCGTGCCCGTTGACTTCCTTTTGATGGGTCACCCAGAATCCCGACGATTGGCAGACGGACCATTTTAATAGTCCAATCTTCAGAAACACTCTAAGTTTCCCTTTCCTGGTTTGTCTCTGATTCAAGCTTTTTTTTCTGTATTGCTTAATAGCCTCCTATACGGTTATTGCAAAAATCTGAAGGAATTTCATAATGCCCTTCCACCTCTAGCGTGTCAATGATTGCAAGTGGCACTGAATGAGACTCCTCCATCTGAAAGATATTGGAAGTTCCACATCAGTAGCCATGCATATTGCAAGGGAACCTTCTTATGCGAATAATTAATAACAGGTTATGTGAGTTTGATACATTATTTCTACCTTAAAGATTAATGAATTTCAGCGCCAATAATTTTAGGACACCTTGTAATTCTCACTACAATCAATCTCGTCATCAGCCCTTCGAACGGTGCCAGTCTACGCTGTCAGTTTTGAATCATTTCTGAAATATCTGGTCTCAAGACTACCTCAACATCATATGTCCCACGTCCGTCAAGAGGGAACAACTACGTTGAACCATGCGTCAGAGAAGTCGTTCTATTAGCCGATAAACAATTACCTCGTGGTCAATGGACTCCAGCGGTCATTACCCATCTTTACTATGTACACCGGAGTACCCAGAAGCGCTGCTATCCGTTTGCTTAACGGCAATCATGTTTAGAGGTCGATCAATAATCTCTACCCTCTAAAAATAAGCGCTGCCGAACAGCCTTTGGATACCGTCAACATAAATCAATGCCCCCATGTATCCAGCCGACAAGAACAACCAAGTCCACCCACCGTTATATCAAACACGAGATAATGCCCAATCCATTATCTGACTCTGTGACTTTCCGAGCATTATTTGAAGTAGGCTCTTCTCCTTTACCGTCAACCAATTCTTGACAGCAAGTACGACACCGTCAGCGCACGACGTCCTTCATATCATCCACGCCTTTGCGTCACCTGTATGTACTCTGAATAACGGACTCTCATGCTACCGACTCGTTCATATGCCATTCGGCCCCAGTTCGAATTTGTTTTCTCGTTGTTCACCGATTTGACGATCATGTTACCTTACGCCCGCTTTGTTCGGTTTCTGGATTTTTCACTCTAGATAATCGGTGTACCTACAACACCTTCGCTGAAGATACTATGGATCGATCGGACATACCAACAACATCAAGAACCGCTTCAACTTCGCCGAGGCACGTGTCACATTCTATTACTTCGTCGTGCTGGTCCCTCGTCGTCAGCGACTACTCAAGACTTTGTTTCTTTGTTGTGGACTGTTGTGGCTGCGATATTCCTTCCGATTGGCTATCGCCCAATCGAAAGGAATATCGCATATTGACTCGTCTAGCCGTAGCGAGACTCACCATCTCTTTCTCACAAATTCATGGACCCTTGGATAGGACGCATGTTAGGGAATTCCCTTCAAGTCCTTTATCTGCCAAGCCAGTCGTCCACTCGTAAATTCAGTTGTCAGCAATTAGCAGTTGGTGTACGATCGTGCAACAGCCACCAACGCCACCGTCCTCAGCGAGTCTCCAATGCTATTAGGTTGGCCGGAAATTTCTCGCTATTAGGTTGGCCGGAAATTCGCCGTTTGATCGCACCATATTAGCCTTGCATGTAAGTTTATGACTTATCGTGGGGTATGCATGAAGCACGCAAGAGACTCTTTCACATCACTGCCTCACACTTACCCAGCTTGCATTTGGATTCCAAAATGCCGCATAAGTTCCAACCCAACAGGATGCACCTGAGACCCTGTCTTGTTTTCCTTCATCAGTCTGGCTTAAACGCAAAGGAACCTCAAGCCAAGTTAGTGGATACATATGGCGCTGGCGCTATCTCTTACGACACATACAAGACCTGGATGTCCAAATTCAAGAAAGGAGATTTTCTCTCCAAGATGCTCTGAGGTCCGGCCGGCCGATGGAGTTAGACTTGGAGTTGCTGCAATCCACCGTGTAAGAGGATCCGTACGCAACTACCAGGGAACTTGCAGCGATGCTTGGCCATGCCCAATCAACTGCTGAATCTGGTCTGGAGAAGACTGGTAAAGTCGCAAAGCTTGGCCGTTGGATCCCTCACCAACATTCATGGCGGGTAACTTTCCGGTCAAACTAATATTTCCATAATCGGCACTGTCAATGCGGTCTAGTGAAGTCAGTCCAAATACTCTTTCGGAAGCAATATGCGTGAAGTATAACGTCTCGAAAGGACAGCTCATCCAAGATTAAAGTACCAACACTTCGATACTATAACAAGTAACAAGTAACCTAAAGCCTCAACTTGCTTATGCGTCGAACTGTGCCTGAAAAGGCAACGAGAACGCATAAAAAGTGAAATCAATATTAATAAAATGGGCACCTACCGGAAGATTGCTGGCCTTCTATACCTCTCAAGACGGTCGAATTTTAAAATCCAAACCATGTCCACTATTTTGAAGGATATCCCTCCGCCGATAGGTGGTCGTTCTCCGTGGTCGATGTGGTGGTCTGAGCGGGTCCTTCTAGATCATAATTTGCTCTTATGTCTCCCCTTTTCATGTAAGATTGCAATTCGTGTTGCAATTCAGTCAGTTACAATCCATATTTGTTCGTTTTGTAATATAAATTCTTTACCTCCATTGTCTTCTCGGTCGGTAGACAATAGGTTCCTCGTCATAGCACTGCGTTACCAACATCATCTCGCACGTCGCCGTCTGTAAATCTCAGTTCCACAGTTAGGGCCCCTCGTTTCGCGCTCGGAATATCGCGACTTACGTGCGATCTTTCGACGCCTGCACTGCACTGATAGAAAACCTTGCTCCAGTCGACGGCCGCCGTCCCCTACAACATTCAAATGAAGGAAAGTGGTGGAAGCGCGGGAGAATTATTGAGCAAGCCCCACACTAAACAATTCGTCATTCATTCGTTCATGTGCGTTCCTCACGAGTGCCTCGTCTCTCGGAGTGTCGTTCCAGCAACTTCGTCGTAACGGTAGACCCTTCATCGTCAGTACTTTGCAAGAATGGTGGATCGGGTGCACTACCTCCAAGTCTCACTCCAATCCTATGTTTTACCAACCATCTCCAATTCTCTCATCCTCTCTCATCTTGTGTCTCATCACATTTCTTCGTCACATATTTGTTGTATTTACGTTGGCGCATATCGTATTGATCGTTGTACGAATTTATTTAGATGGCTCGTGTTTCCACTCTAAACTAATATCGCAAGAATACGTTTGTTCTCAGAACTTCAACTCTTTCCCATATCCCTATTATTAGGAAGCAGTCTTAAAGGGACCTATTTTCCAGCCCGTGGAGGGATCCATCGCATTCAATCCCTCACGAAGGATGTGGGCGCTTATAATACCCACATTCTGCCGTGATCCCAGGGTTCTCCGCGCCGACGCGTCCGTTTTTAGAATCCAGGGTGTGACACCAGGGGCATAAGGTACCAGGTACTATGTAGCCACCGCTTCTTATTGCTTCAATACAAAGCAACATCGCCGCCTTCCTATTTGAGCCCTCATCTCTTATGGGTAACAACAATTGATATTAATCAGTACTTCAGTGTAAGTAATACATGCACTTTTGTTGCTCGTACTTACTCAACGTTTTCGGATGAGAAAGTATATATGGACGGCATGTATACGCGTGGCCCAGTGTGTATGAGTCTTGCTTCAGAACAGAACGCAAGGGTTTCGCTAACCTTCATCTGGTGGAACGCCG